GGCGGGGCAGGCGGCGGCCAGCCGCCACGCGAATCAAGATTACCCGCGCCCATATTTCGTTCAACGCCCGCCGGCGCGACGCCGCGCCGCTTTGTCCAAACATACGCTTGTATATTCCGTGATTTACTGTATATGGCGCGGGGAGGGCGGGCGTCGCAATCCGCGGGGGTCGCCGACGGGGCAAGGTCGCGTGGGGGAGGGAGGGGGGCGCGGGGCGCGGGGCGGGGGCGGCAGGTGTCAGGAGCATGAAAATGCGACGCGGCGGCATCACACACATCGCTGCTATTTTTGTAAACCGACGGCGGCGGACATGGATGGCGGCGACGGAGCGGGTGGGGTGGGCGGGGTGGGGGCGGGGAATGGGGCCGGGGAGCGACCCCCGCCGCCGCCACCGAGCTGCGGGAGCGGCCACAAATACAAACACGGAATTAGCGACGTATCTGCCCGCGATATTGGATCAGCGGGGGAGCATATCACGCGCGCGGCCAGCCATTCAACCGGCGGCGGGCCTCAATACTGATTCGGGAGATGGTTATGTTTAATAAATCGCGCACGCATTTCCCACGCTCAGCGCGCCCGCCCCTGCCGATCGGACGCCCGCGGCCCCCGGCGAGATCAGGTGCGAGTCGCGCGGATGCGAACGCGCGGATGGCGGATTATTTCATTTCCTCCCTCCAGCTCTTTTTCTTCTCGACGCCCCCCCCATTCCACCCACGCCAGTGGTTTTCAAACTTTTGATTCGTGCGGCTCCGTCACAGCAGGGGAATTTTGGAGTATACTACCGTCCAATATGCAAATAAAGCAGGAAACGGGGATATTTATTTCAACTTGGTAATATCGGACGTAGAAATGGAGTATGCACAAGGTACATGTGACTGAATAGTAATTCAATCAAGATTTAACTTGACCTAAGCACATTCACCTTTACCCATTAATTCATTTGTTCCCAGATGTGCATATTGATACAATAATTTGCCCTTAATAATGTTAATATTTTTAATGAAAACCTGAACTTCTAAAAGTCTTTCCTTTAGAAAACAACATATTACGCATATCTTATCATTCCTCTACAATTTTAAAAAGAAATAATAAAAAAAACCTACCAAGCCTCTGTTTCCAACAACTCAGTTGCCCTACCACATGCCAGTAAGAAGTCACTCACAAAGAATATTCAAAGTTCGTCTAACGGAAAACTGTTTATGCCGTTGAAATCAGAATTTATTATTATGATTATTATTATTGTCTTATGTCAATTACTAATCAATTTCTAGTTTAAACTCTACTATTTAGTTGTCAATCGATATCATTTGGGTTTTCAATTGAATATCATCATTTTTCTACATCTTTAGTATTCTATAGTTTTTTTTAGTATTTCCCATTTGACTTTAATCTAATGTAAGATAACTTAATATTGTTTAGTTATCCTCATAGCAAATATGCTATTCTTGGTTATTAACTCTTTATGCGCTATTTCTCCATGGAGCTTAATTTCATTGCAAATGCTTTCAAAGGATGTTCAACCGCTCTTGTGATTATACAACGTTGTGACACGTACTCTCGCAGCGATACATGCAGCGTTTATAGTTTATATACAGTCCATGTGTGGCATTTTGTCCGGGGTCGAGTTTCATTCAGAGAGAGATCATGGCTGCATCTACGACAGATTATTTCGTTGCCACCCTCGCGTTTGTTCCATGATAATCCGACTCAAAACGGTGTCTGTTGTCACGTAAATCCCCTTTCAAATTTTTCATTTACCGAACTCGACCTCAGCGATTCGTGAGGTACACGTCATGGCGATTACAAAATTTAATTTATTTTACTGCAAACGAAGTCATATTTTTTTGTTATCGCGTATGTAAATGCTGCATATTGAGGGCTGATACGAAATACCTCGGGAGACTTTGGTGTGTATTGGGAGAGATTACAAAATTAAATTCTTTATTCGGTGAAAGTCATGGAACTTTTATTTGGGCCAAAATTTAAACATGACGGAAATTCTCAACGTGCAAAGTAGAATCGAGCGCTGTGGTGGAGTCATTCAATGATGTGATTTTTCAAATAGAAACTTGAATACGACGGCCGTCAAAACAAACCTAATGTAGATTTGCCTGCACCTTACCCTTGGAATGGAACCTTTTCATTATATTAAGTCATCTCCAGTGTTCAAAAAAGTCTTTGCTCCCCAACCTTTTGTACAAACATTACTTAGTTCCTAAAATATACAAGAGTTAATTGCTTTTCCGTAGAAATATCTCTTTTCTGTTTTCATTCCTCTTTTGTATTCGTTGTGGTGAGTCACGCTTTTAATTCATGCTCCCATCCTGAAAAGAGTAGCACGTGTGCAGAGGGGAGCTTCATTGAAAATAACGTTTTATTTTAAGACTGGTTCAAGAGATATTCACGGAGAATTTATATTTTAGTTCCTTGATTTGTATATTACATCGATGTTAAACGAATTAGATACGTATTATTTTTTTAAAATCATGAACGTTAACAAAGAGCAACATAATACTCTGAGGCTACCAATTTTGATTTTATTTATCGAAATGACCAAAATCATATTTTGCGAGTAAAGAGGAAAATAATGATATTTAAAACGATGGAATTTACAGCTCGCAGGCGTGAAGTCACTAAAACAAGACAAAATTCACAATTTTCGTTTTATCTGAATGGCATGAACATGTAATAATTCAACATAAACTATGACAGAATATAAAAAGGGTATGTTTACACTGTTTGTAGGAATGCATTCTAAATTGAAACAAACATTTTGTGGATGGTTGCAAGACCTATATTTCTTGTTCCCACTGTTGCAACCTAGACTTTACTTCTTCTAATGAATATTTAAAATTAAAATGAAATGTTCCGTAAAACGTATAGTAGTTTTTTACACGTGATAAAATCGCTACGAAATTTCCACGAGGATAATGGAATTTCCACTCGCGCGTTTCAAATCTGCAAAAGCAGAGGCGTAATCGGGCAGCATGTCTCCAAAGACCTTCAACGAAAGAGGGTCGTTCTGGCTCGTCGTCCAATCAGCAAGTCAAATAGAAAGCGAATTAACCGGGAGAGGCCCGTCATATCCCGTGTTGACACGTCGCCGGTCTTCTTTGCGCCGCCATTAAAAAGTTCCGCTCTCGAACCTTCTGAGCATACACGCTCGCGCCGCCGGCGCGGCGTCTGAGGGTCTGAGGGAGAAGTTAAGATTCATGCAACTTCGTCGAGTTGCCAGCCGGGCGGCGGGGGCGGGGCGGAGCGGGGTGGGGGCGGGGATGGGGCGGGAGGACACCCCGCCCTCCGCCACCGAGTGCGGGCGGCGGCAGCGGCCCACAATACACACGGACGAGGTATCTGGCCCGGGCGGTTATTAGGGATCTTCGCACGCGGAGGGAGAGAGGCATATATATGCGCCCGGCCACGTGCCGGGGCCTCAAATACTGATTCGGGGTGTAGTGGTTATCGTTCAATATACGCCTCGCCCCATTTCCCCTCGCAGCTCGACAGCAAAGTTCGCGAGCACGCGGCGGCAGCGAGAGCGGGCGCCGGCGGGCGTGCGCGGGTCGAGGAGCTGCAAATGGGGCGGCGCCCGCGGCGGCGCCGCAGGCTGCGGTAAATCCAATTGTCAAGAAGATGAACCAAGTGGAGAAGATAGCGGCGACAAGACATGGAAGAGAAAGAAGAAGTGAGAGAAAGAGATGCGTGCGAGCGAGGCGGACGAGAGAAAAAA